CACTTATTATTTAATGTGATACCAATTAATATTTATGTACATTAATAGTTATTTTCGAATTCTCTAAAACGAACTTTATAAATTTAACCTTATCAACAGAGTAAACAGATCATTTTGTTTCTTTATCTAAAATAAATCGATTTTATATTCAATTGAATAGTGATTTTTTACCTACGATATAAAAGAGAGAATCTGTTATTCGGTATGCAATCAAAAAAATACGAAAGTGACGATACAGAACGTGTAGCAATCTTCTCTTGCGTCGCATTTTCTATTCCATCTTTCTTCCTTTCTTTCAATCCGCAAATTTTTTGCACTTTTTTTTATTCGTTTCACTTGTATGCCATACACATTAAAAACTGCCGACGTGGCGTTTCGACGTTTTGTTTCCTCACTATTATTCTCTACTTTCGTTCTTATCTTCGCGAGACCGATACGTGAGAAAAATATAAAACAGTAACGGGTGGTGAGAATTATCGTAAGCTTTCTCTCACCACGAACGGATGGAAACCGGCGGAAAATATCCTCGATTCTCTTCTTTTGCTTGCCACTCCGTTCGTTGATATGCATGACGCCCGATTAAAATGAATACGATTGGATAAAATCCTCTGTTCACTACACGAGGATCTGTATAAGGTGATTCAAAGTCTATCTCTTTCAATTTTCGAATAAACGAATATTGATAGTATTTTCATTGAAAAAAATGAAAGCTTGTAAAAAGAAGCATCTTTAATAATTTCTATTAAGTCAAATTAAAATTAATATTTTTACATAAATTAAAAGACACGTCACTATTAATAACAATGACATTAAGTATTTAAGAAATAAAGAATAAAAGATACGTATTAAAAATATTACGTGGAAACACGATATATAACGAATTATAATGTATTTAACTATATGTAATAATTTATTTTTATTCTTCATTTTTATTTTAAAGTCTTAAATTGATTTATCAATTTAAGATTATGGACAAGAAATGCATTATATATTTGGCAAAAGCTTATCATCAATGATATTGAATTGATATTTCGGTTGTATATTTTAATATAATGATAAATTATTTAAATGGCAACTCTCAATCATTTTGTCTATCACTTTTCTACTCGGAAATTCTGGTTTATTTCGATCAACAACTTATATATATATATATATATATATATATATATATATATATATATATATATATATATATATATATAACACGGATTAATATCGACTTATAATATATTTATGCGGATGCATATTCACGGTTTTTTTTTTAGTATAGCATTATGCACCGTCAATTGATACATATTTATTGTTATATTATATATAAATTACCTCTTCTACAATGTTATTGTAAATTTGGTGCTATATAACTGCCGAATATCATGAAATAATCACGTTATGAAATAATCAGAGATGTCGATGAAACTTCAGTAATTTATAAATATTTTTTGAAAGGATTCTCTGCAATAATAATCACGTACGATGATTTTTGTGTAATAATTTTTTTTAATGACAGTCTAAAATTTAATATAAATTCATATTAAATACAATAAACTATAGTAAATACGCTTTTAGTAACTCATAATTTACACATTAATAATTTATATGTGTGCTAATGGAAAAAAGAGCTCTGACACCTTTAATATTAATGATGAGTATGCATATTGCAATTATATTGAAGGCTTTATTTAGATAATATATATATATATATATATATATATATATATGTGTGTGTGTTTAATAGTCAATATATAAATCGACAGAAAATCAAGTTACTCATTCATGAATGCATTCATTTATTAACAGCCGGTATGAAGAAGTAACTCTTCTAGTTTTAAGCTCGGTTAAGTGTTAAATATTCCACCGCAAGTTGCCTCAATTATTGCATTAGGGCGTTAATTAAATATTCCACTGCATACAGTTAGAAATAACAAAGGTAAACCTTCGTTCGGAGACACTCTTCCCCCTTACGTCAGAGGTACCCGCGTAAGATCCAGACGTCGAAAACTTTAAATAATTACCGGGCGGGATTATCAAGTTTCCTGGGGAAAACGCGAACTCTTGGAGGGTGCTGCTATACTCGACTTAAATCTTGAGCGCAAAACGCGCTGGTTGCAGCATCCTGAGCAGTGGCGTAACTAATGTCCTTGCAAACTAAAAAGAAGTAGAAAAAGCTACAAGAAAGATAGAGAAAAAAAGAAAAATCAGACAAACAAGATAAGAAAAGGTAAGATAGAACAAAAATAAAAATGTGCACATAAGAGAAAAGAATGAAAGATTAGAACTGTTTATCTACATGTATTTTATGTTCAATTTTTATGCATTATCATAATACTATTTAAAATAATTGTAAAACTCGAATTGAAGGGCAAAATAATTTTTTATCAGAGATGTACAGCTAAAGAGCTCTGTAAATTTTTTCAGTAGACTTTCTAGTAGACTAAAAATTCGTTACGCCACTGAGCTTCGGTTGAAATAAGATGCGAAGGAAGAAAGAGGAAAAGAAAGAGAAGGAAGGGCGAAAGGGGAAGGATAGATTTACGAAGTCAAGATAGTTCTCTATAGATACGAGTTAATTATTTAATAAGCTGGAAAATTAATTCCATCGCATTTTAATTAGTCCGTAGCTCGGAGAAAGCGGAAAGCTGCTTGGTGCGATCGTTAAGCTAGCATTCAAACGATTCGTCCAAGTGAGTTTCACAAAATGTGCGCATCGCACATACTCAAAGAAGATTCGGTTATACTAATAAACGTCTTAATTTCCGTGAATGCAAAATCCCCAGGAGTGTCTCGCAACATGGCAGAAAATTCGATTTTAGCATACATATTCGAAACTATGTGGCAAATTTCTGAATTTGCAATTTCAAAACCTATGAAAATTTAAATCATAGACACATTGAGAATATATTAATATTTATATGAATTGAGTAATATTTATAAATTTGGAAAAAATTTTATTTGTGTAATTAATAAATTAGAAATTTTGTTGGCATATTTTTTGACACTCTAATTTTTACAATTTTTACTTTTAGTTATTTTACACAGTTATTTTACACAGTTATTGAAGTATAATTTTTTATACAGTTATTCAGGTATAGCAGAAGAAAAAGAATAGAAAATGGAAGTTTACAAAGATTTATTTGAATTTTACGTGTTCATTAAATTAAATTACAACTCGTATAATGTCCGACATCAAAGAAATATTGCGCAAATTTATATATCTCATTTCTGGAGCAAGAAGGTGAATATATTCTAGAGCGGACAGCTCCGTTAATTTTCAGGGCAATGTCCTTGACGATCATTCCCACAAGTGCACTATAGCAGTCCACCCTCCAAAGAAACGACTCTTTATTAGTCCAGCGAGTCCTTGATGATTCTTCGAGATGACACAAAAAGGGACAGATAACAAAAGTAATAGAGAGGGAGTCGTTGAAGGAAAAAGGGGGGCAGCGGTCAACATGAAATAGAAGAAGGAAATAATCCTGTCTCTCAATTTTACGGACCAAGTCTACTTGGTCGTCCGTGAAGACGAAATCAAATTGCAGCCAATACCAAGTCTCGTTCTACTTCCTAAATATTACCGTGGAATTCTCCGCGCATCATTCTTGGTCGAGAGAGGACAATTTCGACGTTCCATACTTTCGAGCATCGGGTAGACGACCGGTTTTCGTCGATTCGGAGACGTCGGAGATCAAGCCGGATGAGTGTGCGTATCAGACAAATGGAACGTGCGAGCTATTGCAATTTCCGTGCAGAATTCCATACGCGACGTGGCTCCGGTCCGCGCTTTGTCTTTAAACTCGATCATAGCTATGAAATGTTCGTATTATCGTGGGGATGTTCTTGACCCATTCTCCTAACGATCCTTCAGAGGACGAAATAACGGAATATTTATTTTCTTATTTGTTTTTTCGTCTCATAAATCGTATCAAAAAGTACTAATAAGTATTATGTATATGTATAATGTAAAACACAACTTGTGCAATCTTATACAATATTCATAATATTTTTAGTGGATTAAATCTTCAGAATTTGCCTTAAATATTTCGACATTACATTACAATCGAATTAAATTAATCCATAATTGTATTTGTTGCGACGCATATTAATCCTGATTACGTGAGGCTCGTCGTGAGCTTAGATGCGATTAGAAACCATGATCTGAAAATCAGTGGAGTTATCACGCATATAATACAGCATTGCTGGCGACGACATACAATTCACCTACCATTGCTGCCCTTCTGTTTGCCGGCATTAATTAATCTAAACAATTATATCTAGCTGCATTGTTTGAAACATCGAATTAATTGCGAGAAATGCCGAATCCTCTCTCATGAGAAAGTGGAAACGCTCGAGATAGTTCCGCGTTTGAATGTTGAAGTAGATTAGGTTCTCTCTGTGAAAGAGACTCTTGCATTTCTCAGCTCGTCTTTTAGAAAAGGGAATGGCTTTAATAATTAAGACAAATTTCTTCGATTACAAATTAAAGTTGCACGAATTAACCAAATAAAAAATCCATTAATGATACAAAACGCATATGTTTATCAAATAATGTTAAATCGAATGATGATTAATAAATACGCATGAATGCAGCCTATTCTGCTATATTATCTAATTTTTGGTTCATAGTTTTTACAGAGCCTTTTTATAATTTTATGTATATCTAGTTTTCTGTGTTGAATTAAGAATCGATCAAAAAATTTAATTTAATTAATTATTTTAATTAATTTATTTTATTTTATTAATTAAAAAAATTATTTTATTAATTTATTTTATTAATTAAAAAAATAATTAATTTATTTCTTGGTAATTTCTTATAAGTGATAGGAATTTCTAACTCATTTTTAGTAAAAACGAATTTGTAATTTAGTCCTATCGAATAAATATACTTCATTTGTAATAGATTGATGCTAAATGGATAACTTTAATTAAAGAACGAAGAAATGTGAACAAGAAGTTTATGCTCATTCACGCGAGGATACTTTGCAACTAATTGGAAGATTACTTACCGTTTGCGTGCGCTGCAAGCAGGTCTCTCAATTGTTGCTGACCGGTGGTCAATTCTACGCAGCTTACCCTGACGCTAAATCTAGCACCGGTTCTTTGTCGTTGTTCAGAAATTCCTCGGAAGAGCCACGCAATGGCGCAAGGAATTGCGCCGAGTGTATGACCAGCTTCCGGAGTTCCCAACATAGTGTGAGACTTGCCTGAATAAGATTAAAAGAGAAATTGTGTTAAACATTGCGAGAAAATGCTTGCTGATTACGAGCGAATGTGAACGTGAGATTACGTCAGAGAGAGTAAAAATGTTTAGCGTTTAAATGTGCAATGTAAATGCAAATGACATAGATAAAAATTCATCGCTACTTGAATTAATTATAATTATAGTTTTACTGGCTGCTTAACTGTTTGTTCCATGAAACTCATGTGTGTGATTTAAATATTTTCCGATATATATATAGTTTCTAAATATTTTTTTCTATATTTACAATTAATATGATTTTCTAATTAAAAATTATGAAAACAAAATACTTAAAGATAATGTTCTAATTAAAAATTATGGAAACAAAATACTTAAAGATAATGTCATAACAATTGGATATTCGTTTTTTTTTGGTCAAGAAAAATAATGATAAATAAAAAATGACATTAAAGTTAATATTTTGAATGATTCTTGCCAGACTGACGGACTTATTGCCGTAGGGATCATATTAAAAACGCTCGTAACCGATGCCGGCTGTGCAACCGATGCATAGACAAACTTCATTGTTGATTGGCATAATCACGATTTTCCCCCTCACGTGTCACGACGAATCAATTCACATGAACGAGTTCGAAAATCCCGTATATATACATAGCTGGCATGCAAGTTGGATGGGTGCAATAATTGCGATACCAGATTTGCGGTCGGATCTGAACGAGCCGTTTAATTTGTTTACTATTTAGTGAACGACAATGTAACGGCTAGAATGACAACCGAGGATTATGCGAAAGTAGAGCGATGAAACTATCGATCGATTATTCTGCTTCTTGGTTAAACGGCGTAAAATAAATATTATTAAAATTAATTTATTAGCAACAGTAACGGAATATAATTTCGGGAAAAAAGGACCAGTTGTATATTTAATAGCGGTTTCAGAGCACGAATTGCGATAATGGCGCATATTTTGCCAAACTTTCGGCGCGAAAGTTTCGGCGAAATTGAAAACCAGGCTCAAACGCTCTTCTATTGATAGAGAAATAAAAGAGCTCTTATTAAAATCATAAAATAGTCCGAAGAAAACGGAGACGACTTATGGCAGGGGGATTACGATACGGAAGGACGAGAGATTGAAGCGAAAGGCGTAAGATCCAGGCGAAGGGAGGCCCCGTCGGCAACGGCGGAATAATGGAAAAGCAGCAGCCGCCGTTGAATCTTAAACGTTATTTAATTGTCTTAATGTAGGACGGTGAATTATGTTGTTATTTAATTAGAAGCACGGCGGAAGAGAGGGTCGGGCCATCTCATCGGTAAGGGACCGCATCTCGAGAACTTTTCTCAATGGCTGATTCCACTTCGGAGAATTCGCGCTTCGTCGGAAAGATTCGAACGAAGGTCGAACCGCAAAAATTCCGCAAGAATTCGCGCTATGCCGCCGCGAGATTCGCGGGGCCACTGACGATGAAGCAGAAAAACAGAACGATAGCCGCTGCATTCTCAGACGAGCGGTACCGACGCTCTTTTATAGGGATACTTTTGAAACGAATGAAAGTGATAATTAAAATTCCACACGAGTACCTTGTTATATGAAAAAAATATCAAATTGCGTGTTTATTATAATGTTCACATATTTTCGTCCAGAAATAGTGAAATGATTTACTCGAAAGTGAAATCTGTGATGAAAGAGAATTTATTCTCTATTTTAAATTTGCATAAGAAATCATCTCCATTTCGCCTCGTGTTCCGATTGCCGGTACATTCTACATAATTAATTTATTGTAAATAAAAGAGATTTAATTTCCATACGTATGTATACATGTTATTTCACAGCGCTACTACGAATTTATGTACGCAAAATTAGCAAGAACTGAATAAATCCTTCCGCGGTTATGTAAAATAGAACCGAGAGAAGCGTGGTTCCTTTGACTGAATCGCTTACTAAGGTTATCATTGTCAAAGCACCGTTTTTGAGAAAGGGATGAGAGAGAAGTTTCGGTGCACCAAGCACGCGTGCTTCTTCCCCTCGTTGTTGCATAATCCACTTTCACGGTCCTTCCGCGATCTCAAAGGGTTCGACGAGGTGTCCGCCGCGCAGGGGTAATTAGGAACGCGCTACAAAGTACAAACGGGCCCATTGTCGTCGCAGTATCTATATGCACTACAACTCTCTACTCGTCCTCTGTCCCTTCGCAAGAAACAAGTCCCGTTGCTTTGAGAGCGCGAATCTCTCTCTCCCTCCCTTTCCCTCCCCCCTTTCCTCTTCTCTTTCTCTCATTCCCTCGTTCTTCTTTTTTTCGACATTGTATCGCTTATTCTCTGTCATCCTTACGTCACCTCCAGGAGCACTTTGCATGCGATTTTTCAGACCGCGGATGACAGATGCACAAATACAATTGGTTGCATCGATGCATCGCGCGTGCGAAATAAAAAATATATTCTGAACATTTTTAAGTTACCAGTTTAATTTAGGTTGTCTTTGCCTCTTGTATGTATTCTTTTTTTCGCAGATTCTGTTTTTTTCCCTAATTTGCATTTTGCTTTTCTTATCCATCTACTATTCTAATTGCGGTCGGTCCTTCTTCCTCGTCTTCTTTTTCGCCTCGAAGGATGAGGAGATGAGATATAAAAAGTTGAGGGAAAATCGGGATATAGAAAAAGGAATGAAAAAGGGAAAGAGCGAAAAGCTGAAAAGGACAAGAAAGGAATGGGAGAGAGAAAGAAAGAGAGAGAAAGAAATGTTCGTGTAGAGATGATCAAAAGCAGTTTGCTCGCGGACTTGCCTGAAGTATTTTAGGAAGAGAGAGGGAAGACACTGCGTGAATTCGTTCGGCTTCTTTTTGCGTGGTTCTTTGTCTACGGTCGTTGGACTCTCTTATCTCTTCGACGCGCTTCCTTTTATTTTCGACTTTATCGATTCCCTTTTCGTACGCCGCAAGAAATCCTGCTCGATTGCGCGAACTTCGACGTTGAAGGCCGAAGATTTCTCAACGCGCCATGAATTATGAAACCATATCAGTTCAGGAACTACGGAAGCGGACTGAAGGACCGCGCTTTAAAAAAAACTGTAAGAGTTTATTTGATTCTGAAACCAATTTTAAAATTGTAATTTTCCTTTATGGACAGTGACATTTTATTTTCTTTAGGGATAACTATTTAGAAAGAATATTTTTAAAAAAAACTCGATACTTTAGAGAGAATATAATTATATAATCATATAATAACTTACACATGAAAACAACTGAATTTTTGTAGTAATGCAATTTCCCATGTTTAATCTTATTTATCGTATTTAAATTATATGAATTTTTACATGTTTCTCTATCAAATATGAAAAAAAATCTTCCAGTGAGAAATGTATACAAGAAACTCAGTGCGGAAATATTATTCCACGAAATATCATTCCATGAAGTTTAATTGGTTCCGACTGTGAGAATAGACGTCTATCGCGTTTTATCAAAACTTTATTCCAATTATAATCAATATTAAAAATATTTTAATGAACATTCTTTGGACGATTTAATGAAAAAAAGAAAATTCACCGACGGATTATCATTCTAATCATACTAAATTCATACAAAAATTAAATTTTCATGCGAATTAGAAAACTCGGCTCGAAGTCGATCTTTAATATACTTGCAAAATTTTGTTGTTAATAACCAAAAATGACATCAGCATCTTTATTTTGATTGTGCAATATTAACGAGACGATTTAATAATTAATTAAGCAATATATGGATAGAAAATACACAATTAATATTTAACAGTACATAAATTTCGCGAACTATATATTATTAATAAATAATATATTTGACTGATATTATACTTTTTCATTATTTAAATGAAATAACCGCGATATTATTCTTATAAGTCATTTACCAAGAATTAATTAATTAGATAAATAATTGTACTAATTGTAATGATTACGAAAAATTAATCGCGTTTCGAAGAATAATAGAAGATTTATAAAAAATTTGTATAGTTTCTTTTCGCTCGAATCTTGCCACGTATATGACAACAATTACATGTAAACACCAGTAGTATGCTTTGAATATATGTATATACTGACTATCACAGGTCTTTTCAGCCTTTATTTTTGCGCGACCTATGACGTGTATTGGCATTGAAACGCGCGGTCGATCTGTTGTCATTCGCGCAGTGAGCTTCGAACAGGCGAGTCGCTCCGTGTATCGTTCCATTAACTTTCACATCGCGTAAATTTTCAAAAGGCAATATTGCTCGTAATATTACTACAAAACTACTAATATTACGATCAGCACGCACGATTAATTTTCATAATAATTAACATGTTAAAATATCGTCGCGACGGTTATTTCAGTTAATGATAGAACGTGATGCATATATCGACTATTTATTAATGATACGTGTATTTCGTATATTTGTGTAATATTAAAATTTGTGTATTTTGTCGATTCGTCGCGTCTTAATTAAACATTAATTCGATTCACGTAGTATCGCGCAGTATCAATGTGATATGTTTTTCGGTTAAGTTACGTTCTACATAATGGACCAACTTCAAGTCGAGTATCGCGATGAAATTTAAACGCATATAAATATGATCGTATTTATTAATTCTGTATTTTAATATCAATCGCGTTTTAATTAATTGTCTGTATTATTTTATTTGTCAAGACATATGTATTTTGCGAAATTTATTCGATTATAATTCGTTATGTAATAGAATATTATCGCGATAAATTTGGTCATATAACCTTCAAGTGTCAAACGAATTGTATTTTGCGTTGTTCTTCGTCGCAATATAATAAAGTGCTTGTCGTGTAATCAACGTCGGTGAAAAGTGATTATGCTGATCGTAATTAATCGCGTTTTCGCGAGTGAATATTGTGTGAGTGCTATGAAGAAACAAGAATTGAAAAAAGGAACTGGAAGACCTGGAAAAGTATCAGGCGACAACGAAATAACATTGTCAAGTAAGCAGTTTATAAATTATTTGTTACTCGTAAAATTAATTATTTTTGTTGAAAATATATGTACACATATATTTCAAGATTAATAATATTTTAGAATATAAATTAGAGTTTAATAATACTTTAGAATGTTTTTTATGCATGTTTTTTTTTCATTTTGCAAGGAAATAAAACATTATAAAATATAAATAAAACATAAAATAAAACATTACTTTTAAATTCTAAAAGTTGCTTTGGCTTAGAAAGCATGCAATGACGCGAAGGGACTCTCTAATGCTGCATTAAAATTTGAAAAGTGCGAGAAAGAGAGTGTCCCAGTGGCATACATTATCGCCATTCCTTCCGCCATTCCTTCCGGTCTCACCTCACTGTTCCTCATTGTCGTTTCTCCTGTCTCTACTTTCTTCCCTTTTCTCACTCTTTTTCCATACCGACATTACCACCCGAGAACATCCTCCCTTCTGTGTACCTTTCACGCATAATCGTGCATTTGCATGCAAACTCGATATCACTACTTAAAATGTAAAACAACTCTGCGCTTCTATCGACGCGTTTCTCGCAGCAGCAGAACAAGGAAAAATGAACAAAAGAAAGAGAACACTTAAATAAATAAAGAATAAGGAATAAAGGAAAAAATTTTCGCGACATTTCTCTTAAGAGCAGATATATACATATCCGCTCTTGAGAAAAATATCGCGAGAATTTGTGTGTGTGTGTGTGTGTGTAGATGTGTGTGTGTGTTCATTTATATATATATATATATATATATATATATATATATATATACAGGGTGTCTTAGTTATCTTCCGTCATCTTTCAAAGACAGATTCCTGGGATCATCTAAAGATGATTTTTCCTCAACGAAAATGTCGCGGCACTAATAATTTTCGAATTATAAGTAATTGGAAATAAGGAGTTTTTCGTAAACTAAGCTTTGTAGAAATAAAATATTAACAAAACCACATTCTTTGATTATTTTAAATAGAGTTTACTTTAGTTGAGTTTTAATTTAAGACTTAATTGCAAAGATATATGATGACAAAAATTGGAAACATGCAAAAAATGATGGCTTTCATTGAAATTTTCGCTGAGGAAAAATCGTCTTCAAATGATCCCAGGAATCTGTCTTTGAAAGATGACGGAAGATAACTAGGACACCCTGTATGTATATATATATATATATATATATATATATATAATATTATTGATATTCTGGAAGATTTATTTCTCGATTCAAAGAGAATATGCGAACCAGTATGACCGTCTTACATAAATAATAAAAATTTAGCTGTAAAAAATTGATATCATTGTTGAATAAATAGTTCGCAAGGATTCTGAATTATGCAAGCAAGCTTGTGATTTATCAATTAATAGTTACTTCATCACTTAGAAGATTTTTATATCACTTGAAAGATTTTTTTAACTTACCTAAGCCAGCATGTCCAAAACAAAACAGACAACCGTCTGTTCCATTGATGACCGCGTGAATTACATCCGTAAGAGCGCTCGAACAGATCTCAGTCTGAAAAGAAACACATACATATTTATACATTATTATACATATTTTACGATCGCAATTATTAAAATTGATTACAATATTTTTTAATCTTTTTCGCACGATAGACATACTAAATTCGTACCGATAATTATTAAATTTCGTATCTCGCGTTTTGTACCTCGATATAGCTTTAAGGCAATTAAACGGACGCGATTTTAATTGCATCTGCTTCGCAATAATACCACGACGAGAGAATGGAAAGGGGCGAAACGTCAAGCCTCTGCAGGACAGCGAGTAGAAGAGCCTCATCCGGGCTCTCGTAAAGTGCTTAAGAAAGCGTGTTGGCGGACCGGGTTTAATAAACGCGTGTAACATCTCCAGAGTGAAAAGTGAGGAGAGATAGAGAAGAGGTAGGAAAAGAGGGAAAAGAGGGTCGCGGGATTATAGGAGACGGCCCTTTGTTTGCTTCTAATGTATTCATAGACTGGAAAAGACTTTTCCTGGATCGCCAAATAACGCTCAAGACCAGTCCGAACTACTCTTTAAAAAGATTCGATTCTTGGATGACGTTCAATCGCCTATTCGATATTTCAAGTATCAATGAGGAGAATAAAGAGTAAGACAGAAGGCAAGACGCGAAAATCGAAGAATTCGTTCGAGAAAAAGAAGTGCGTTTTACGAATCTCTTGCGAAACCTGCCGAAAATCTTCAATGCCGAATCTGTGGCTGATGTATCGCGTGCGATCGATGATAGGATGTCTCTAGACGACTGTCTTTTTTTCACTTCGACATGGCTCAATAAACGAAGGCTAGAAGGGCGAAAGAGATGGAAAAATATGTGTTATGAGAGGGAAGGGGGATTTCTCGCAGTTTGCGGAGAAAATCGAGAGGAAGATGAGGACGTGTCGATGCCTCGACCAAACAAGATTGAAATCTTCGTGGACGAGAATCGGATGAGCCCGAGATGGAAAAAGGGATGCTGAATCTCGTGAAAAAAGAAAGCGCCAGGGGAAGGAGTAGTGTATCGGGGATAAGAAAGGGGACGAAGAGAACCGCACCGGAAAGACGATCGAAGTGGAGAATCGAAGTAAGAAGAGAAACGTCGGAAGGAAAAGGAGAAAGAGGGACCGACCGCTCTTTCCACTTTCTCGTTTTTTTTCTTTCCCGCGGCGGCAAAAGGATAGGGAAATAAGGAGTCTAGTCCCTTTCCCAATATGGTAATACCAATCTGTCGCTGCTCGTTTCAAAGGGGCGGCACAGCGTGTAGCCGCAAACGAGTCTGCCGATACCACCGCAGATTTACATTGACTTCTTGATTCGCGAACAGAGAAACGCTTCTTTCGCCGCGTCTCGATAAAGGAATTTATTATCTAAGAGGGAATTGCTCGTTAATTTATACGCGAGTGATCGCACGCCAATTAAATGGAACCCCGTTAATCATATTTATTTATGAGATCGTCATATTTACTTTGAGTTTTGCAATATGTTGACGTAATAGTTAACGAACTCATATATCAAATTAATTATTTTAATCGCGATATATATATATATATATATATATATATAAAAGTAAAAAGTTATTATATAAAAGTATAAAGTTATATATATATAAATAAAAAGAAAATTATATATATATATATATATATATAAAATTATATATATATAATCTTCTTTTATTTTCTACACTTTTAATTCTTTTCGTTCCACAAAATGTTGACGTAATATTGAAATTATACAATTGACAAGTAGAAGATATGCAAATATTAGGAAAAATATTTTCACTCGAAATTATACGAAATCAATTGAACGAATCAAACCAGAGTTGACCATAGTATATCCGATACTTACAATGGCAACAACAACGATATTCATAATTATAACGGGATCATCTCGAGGGATGTAACGTAAAGCAAATACATTTCGTAGATACCCTCCGTCGCCAGAAATCTCGTCCTTGAACTCCCCGAACTGTCGACATGACGGTTAATGAAATACGTGACCGGAGCCACCATCATAATCTCAAACACTTGATTCCGCGCCCGTGCGACCGGAGAAATTGCGGAAAGGGTTCTTCCACGCTTCTGATGCGCGCGAGCGAGAGCCCATCGATGTCGAGCCTTTGAAAATTTTCACCGGCGAGAGACCACCCTCCCTGTGATGTCCGCCCTCGGGCCAGACACCCGCACGTAATGCTGTTTAACTCTCTCGCTCAGATTTCCGCCGGTTAAAAATGAGTAACAATAGCAATTCACTTCCGCTTTGATGTTCTTTTAATAATCGAAATTCGCAGAATTGATACGCGGAGAGTATAACCGGAAATAGGACTGGATAAAAATTAGTTAATTGTTTGGCCGGTCCTTTGTGTATATTGTCTCTTGTGAATATTTTTTGAACGTATTTTTTTCCATGCGTTATGCGGAGGTTAAAATAAAAGTCGAGGTAACGTAATTGAATGAAAAAATTTATCTTGTCGGTAGTAATATCTATAATAATTATGCTTTAATTTACATAGAATTGATAGCTCTCTCGAAAAATAATTTTCCCGTTGCTCATCAAGAGCTTTTTATAATTCCGGTAACCCTCGCCAATTGAAAGGAATCGGCCGACGCGGACGTGACGTCTCAATCGCGCTCATCTCAAGATGTTTATTTCGAGCGAGGGTGGTATGAATTAAAAGACACTCACCGCGGTGTGACTTACAAGCGGCATCGTGTCGTCGCGCTCGTAGTCGTTTAAATTCAGTTTGCGCGACGCGTTTCGGTAACGCAATATTGGTGCACCGGACCGGAATACCAATCGTACTCGTCGAGGGTCGAATGTACCACTCTCGCAAGAGTACCTTCCGCTTGCGAAGAAGAATCCACGTCGGAGGTCGCTCTCCCGCTTTCGATCTCGCCATCTACACACGCCTCTCCCTTATCGTCATTCCGATGCCTCTTCATCCTTCTCCAGACGCGAAATGTAAAACTCATGTCGAAAGTTCGGAAAGAAGCTACGAGAAACGTTTCACCCTCGTAACGTTGGAGTGGGACGAGCGAGGAGGGGTTCTCTTAATGGCTGGAAATAATCGAATGATCTCCCCTCTGTTCGCGTCGCCGACGAATCTCTTAATTCGCAAGTTTTCCAGATGTCTCGACGGCAATGTCTCGGGGCGAATCAAGGTAACGTCGCTTTGGACATTAGTCGACTTACAAGCGCCGACACTTTCACGGTTCGTCCCTGTTCTTCCAATTTTTCAAATGTATTTGAAACAGTTTCATCGATGATAAGAGGATGTATAAAGATCTTCTTTCTCTTTAGATTAAATTTCTCGGCATTTTTTCATATGACGATTAATATGTAGATAATAAATATCTACATTTTATTAATTTAAAATAATTTTAGTTATTTTAAGTTTTTAAAGATTTTTAATAATGTTATAACAAATATAAATTAATGCTGCATCCTCTTTTTTAATATCTTAATTAAGAAATTCCATTTCGATATAGAACTTAAAAATTACACAAAAAGTAATTAAATTTAGAGAAAAAATGAATCAACATCTTTGATAAGGAAAGCTTGCTCCTTGATTCGAACATCTTTGCAAGAGAATTGCTATTTGTGCTTTTGTAAAAGCGTAAACTAAAGCCTATTGCAGGCAAATTTACATAAGAGCATAGCGTATAAGCGTCTCCGACCAATGAGGCTCCCGGTAAGCTTTGCAATACAATACAGCGGCTTACGTCGGGCGTTTCATTGGTCGACGCGTTTATGCACTATGACGACGTTCTTATGCAAATTTCCGTACGATGCTGCTGATGTATCAATATTAATATAACTATAGAAGCAACGCGCGAAAGAGACCTCGTTAAAGACACGCAATGCCCAGAAAGCGCACAATAATCCTAGAATTAATATTTACTTACGATGTAAAATGCGCAAATTGTACTAAATTTGAATTTTATGTCGCGTTCAAGTCTCCGCTCTTTCCCAAATGTGATTTCATTCAGTTACTATTTTAATATTCAGTACGGAAAATGCTTTTTTCCAGACTACTCGTTCGACGAAAATTAAATATATGCGCTATTAAGCATTGCGCTTTTTCGGATAGCAGGTAATTATATCATCGCTTGTTTGTTTGGATCGTTCAATTCACGCAATAACAAACGCGAGTCACGTAATCTTCTCCTTCGGTGCGATCATGAACGTTAAAATGGGAAAAACGTGCTGAACAGAAATTTTGCTATCAATGGAAAAAAAGACGCGATCAGCATTTTTATAACGGCGAGGCTAGATCATCCATTGTCAGCGTCATCAGACTTTTAACAATCGCGCCAATCATGTATGTCGATTTTTGACAATCGCGGCAAGTTTTCTCTTGCGTTGCGTCTGTGATTTTTTTTTCATATAATGCTTCACCAAAAATAGCAGCTTTTTAATATATTAGCATTTTTATATACATGTATATAATAATTTAATAAATTGATGAAGTAATTAAAAAATTTCATTAGAATTACAGAAATAAATTTGAGAACATTTTAAATATACGATAAAATAAAAACACATGAAATTATTACAATATGTGAGTTTCGTTAACAAGGATATGCAAGACAAATTGTTTTTTATAAGCAAGGCATAGTCTGTAGATGCACCAACATCTATCGCGATGACGCTGTTCGATGAAAACCGTATCAAAAACAAACAGCCCTGAGGGGATGCTTTTCGCCCTCGTATACGAACGACGAGACAGAAGCGGTTAGTAATCGTAGGCGAGGCACGGGAGGACGGGAAGCACAGAATGTGCGAAACACACGCTTGCAGGAAATACTCTCGTCGGAATTTACGAGCCGGTAATTCCAAAAATTGCATTGCGATACACGTGCTTTCCGCTCGACATACCGTGATTCATTTTAACTTATTCGTTTATAAATAATTTCCGCTGGCAATAGAGACATATAAGCACTAAGTTAACCTCGCGAGAGTTCAACGTATTTGCTAGTCAATGAATAATCGAACTGCATTTGATTTGATAGAAAGAGACACCG